ATTATAAATCTGATGGTTAGGCAATGTAGTTTTATCAGTTAAACTCTCATATTTTCTATGCATTTGCTTGCTGCGCAACTAAATGTCCAGTGATGCCAGGGATGTTGTTACCAGTACCTGCAGTCCAGACATTCTTTCTCTTGACGTTCTTGTGAAGCTAAAGACTCGGCAGTTTGCCATCATCCCTGCAGTGGCAGTGCACATGGACACACCAAGGATGGACTCTGGGGAAAAAATAATGTCAAAGTAAGGAGCCATAAGATGGCCTGAAGACCTGCAGCACAGTTGTCAAACTGTTGGTTAACCATTTAAAAAACCGTCTCACTATGAGTCTGCATTATGTTACTGTCATACAGGAAGGAACAGTGTGTGTCACAATTTATTATTTTATTGAGTGGACTCAAATGGGATCACAGGGATTTCCCCACTCCAGCCCAGATAGGGATGTAATCCGGAAAAAGGTTAGGTTAGATAAGTTACCTTATAAGAGCATGCGTTGCATGCAGCGTGAATCAGGAACAGAACACATCAATTGACATATTCATTATGCAAAAGCAGAAGTTTGATAATGGAAAGTGTTTTTTTTTTTTTATGAATGACATTTTCTTTACTGTTAATATGTACACTTTTACATGCGTAATCAGTGATAACCATCTCTATCCATGACTAGTCACATGTTGCCATGACTACAACCAAAGAGTAGCAACTGAAACTTCCTCATGTCGACAGAGTTCAGATCTGTGGGGTAGATTTGACCATAACACACAGAGTTCAGACCTTTGGTGTGGGCTAGGGTAGCGGTGTGCGTTGATACCGCTAATATGTTTTTTGATCCTACTACTGGGCAGTGTTGGTAATGTTACTTGCTACTTACTTCAATTTTAATCAATCACTCATTACATATTACACATAAAATAAAAACGAATGTGTTACATTATTGTCGTTACTTAGAGCCGCTCCATTAAAGGTGCCTTTAAACAACTTCCATCCCACCACACACTGTGGTCAAATAATCTGCCAGTGTACGGTTTGGAGGTGTTTACTGATCATCAATAGCTAACTCAGCAAGACCCAACTGATTCCTGGCTTCTCAGTAACTAACACTAACAAACAAGCTAAGACACAACATTCAAATTGAACAGTTGTGGACTTACCACAGGGCACGTTTCTCCTCTTTGGTTCGCTGCAGACTAACCACTTTCCCAAACCCCCAACAGCAATGTAATTACCACATTTCAAATTTGAATCCTTTAGACTGAGAAAAGTAATCACATTACTGTAACATGTTACATGTTAATGGCTAATCAAAGGATATTGGTAAAGGACTGTATTGAGATAGAGATGCAATGGCAAAACCTGAAGGAGTGAGCGGTTTTGACTTTGCTGGTGCCAACCAGAACAACAGCAAGTCTGACATTTGGAGAAATGCTTCAGTTGTTAATGACACAGTAAAATAATGAGTCTTCACCTGCGAGAAGACACAAAATCTCTACTTTGTGGGCGCGAATGGTCAGAATGTTTACAGGTGCGGACAAAAGTGGGAGACATAAATAGCGGGAGAGGGCGGTAATGGTGAGACATCCAGCAGGAGTGGGATTAAGAAAACAGTCCAGGGCTCTACTCAGTGGCAAGTTAATAGCATTTTTAATAAAAGTATCCGGTAAATCACATTTACATACCAGTAAGTTGCAACTTGGTTTTGATTCTGAGGTGTAGTGAGCATTTCTGCCTCCCCTCACACCTCATGACTGTGGAGAGGCTGATGTTGTGGAACACAGAGGAAGTATTGAGACCTTCAGCAGGGTGATGACATGGAGGAGGAAACAAATCTACACAGGGCCAGAAAACAATACACATTACACATTACCTTTCCGGGCACATACTGACACTGATGACAGACCATTCTTTAAAGACTGCCAGACACCTTTCACTGTGATCCAGATGGGTGTACTCATACTCCCAATAAACATTTGTGTTTAAGTTCAGTGCAAGTTATCACAGTGGGTGTGTGCTACCATGTCAACAGCCCAAATGTGCCCAAGCCTGTATTATTTACAGAGAGAAAAAAAGACTAAGGTATTTCCTCCATCATTGTCTGTCAAGTGCAGCTTTGTGATTCATCTTTGCATACTTTTTTATCTTTGAATACACATGTTCAAGAATTTTATACCACAGTGAGTATAATTAAATGATGTTATCTGACATCCACACACCTGTCAGAGATGCAGTGGATGGCAGGGTTGGAATAAAAATAGTATTTATTTTTATAACTTGTCAGGAAGTTATGCATTTAAAAGTTTATTATACCTAATGATAGGTGGGGCACTTTTTAAGTGATTTATGTGTGTTTAGTTAGAGGTTTTAGTGCCATGTGACATCATAATATAATTTTTCAAACATGCAATTCTGTACACTGAATAGAGTTTCTTTGGCAAAATAACATTAAAGTACAAAGATATTAAATGTGGACAATATTGGGAGCAAAACACAGTGTTAGGTGAGTTATTGTGCAAAATGATGTCCTGTGTGCATGCATGAATGCAGATGTGGTGTAGCAACCATGCGTGTCTATACTCACACCCTGGCTTTGTCTTGCAGTGAAGGCCCTGCAAGAAGAGAAGAGGGGAAAAAGAAGCACTCAAGTGAAACAGGGTGTTAAGTCTTTTCTGTGAATCTTTCTGAGCGGGAGCAGCATTAATAAAGTAATTCTTAACAAAGAGAACAAAGGTAGCACCTCTACCACCAAAACAGGAAATTCCCGCACAATAAGGAGCTTTTTACATCGTCATTGCTCCTTCAGGTAAAACCAGGCTGGTTGTATTTTCTGCTGCAGTTTGTTATGGTCCAATGTGGTGGTCCATGCAACCAAATGCAAAGGGTAAATCTGCCTAATAATAATCAATTAGCCTTTGTGTGCTGTTATTAGACAGTTGCAACAAGAGCCTTTGCTAAACTTATATGACGTTAAATAAACTGTTATGAATACGCAAATTATGCAAAAGCATCCATTGCCAAAGTCAATTTGCCTATGATCATCATCTTCCAAAACTTAATCCAAAACATCTTTGTTAATTCATCAAGCATAGGCCCTGAGAAACTATCCCAGATATTCAGAGCTCTGCTATTTCTGAATCCAGTAATGAGTTAAAGCAATAGAGTATGTTTTCACTTGTATGATGTGGAGGAGTCATTTATCACCAGATCCTTCAGGATTTCTCAGTTGTTTTTCTGAACAAAACTTTACTGTTCTGAGGTATCATATAACAATATCTAGAATCTCACAGCAGTATATGTGGTAATTCACATTACTTGATCGATATTAATGATGTTTTGAAAGTCAACACACATCTGAATTTCAAACTGATAACAGATATCTGGAAAAAAAAAGTTGGGTTTTTTGGGAGGTTGTCAGCTGCTACAACAAGACCTTGCTTTTGTATATTTTTTTTACTTCATATACCTGTAGAAACTTGTAAGTGAGAAAGAATGGTGTCTTTATTGTATACTTGCAACACAGAAAAAAAAGACAGCTAAAATCAGAATGTGTTCAGTTTTCAAATGGTAACATACTACAAGGAGTTTTAAACTGGTTATGAAACAGTCACATTTAATACCAATGCCCCTGTATGATCTAAGCAAACAAGACTATCACCAGAAGATTGGATATTTCTAACTAGTTATTTATTATGTTTGGCACTGGTTCAGATTTGGCGGGTTGTTTTAACAAGGTGTTTAAAACACTATCCGCTACTGTCCACATGGGGTGCCAGAATCAACATAAAATGACAGTTCCTTGTTGGGGCTTTAAGTACCAATAGCACACTGTGAAAATACTATATAAGTAAAGTAAAAGTCCTGCATTTAAATCCTATAAGTAAAACTATGTAAGAATGATCAGCAAAAAACTATATACAGTACCCATTGTGCTGTAAAATGTTCCCTGTCAGTGTTTTATTATTATATATGATGTCTTTTGATTAATATTACTGCTGCATTCATGTGTCTGTTGCATTTTACTGCTGTAGTTGTTTATGGTTATATTCATTTTAACAGTGAGAAGCACACATCTCTAAAAGGTCATGAGAAAAACTGCCCTGTTTTCAGCTTTGTGACAATGCCTTTTTCAGCTAAGAGAGTTTTTAAATAGTTAATATACATATTGTATATGTCTTTTTTTGGTGTTATCTGTTGTGTTATCTGTTGCTGTTG